GGGGGGGGAGGGTTGAGTGGAGGCAGAAAAATATTTTAAAAATTTTATTAGGGCAGGTAGCATTTATTGATCATTGTGTTATATATATCAGTTATCTACTGACACAGTAATTCTGTGTCAACAAGGTCAGTGGCTTAAAATAATGAGCATTTATTTATTTAACACTCAAGATCATGGTGGGTGATTCAGAGTAGCTGGTTGTCCTTGTCTCAGCCAGGACCTTATATGGGATTTGATGACTGAGAAGCTGTGGAGGTGAACTTCAGGAAATCACATTCAGCTCTGAATATTTGAACACAATCAACTGAGAGGGTAGATGTTAATAGAAAATTTGATGTCAGAAAAAGAGAGTATTGGGTGTGGGGGAGCACAGTTTAGGGAATCTACTCTGGATAATCTTGATCTGTTGTTTGCCTAAAATCAGAAATTGTTAAAAATGCAGAGTTTGACAATGCCAACACCCCAAACTAATGTTAAAATATTTTTTTCATGTGCAACTGCAAATTATGAAGGGCCCACTCAAGTGTGGGGGAATCGATCAACTAACATTTGCTTCCTCCTAATCCCTTAGCATTTCTTTTTAAAATTTACCGGTTTCTCTCTGTTTTTCTTCACTTGTCATTTATGATGTCATCCGCTGGTGAGAACATCCAAGGATCACAGCATTTTAGACCTGAAACCATTGAGTCCAACTGTCATTGATAAAAGAAGAAAACAAAGCTCTTACAGACTTGTAACGAACCATAAAACCAATGACTTGGAAGCACAGGAATAGAACCCTTGGTTCCTATTCTAGTGGGTTCCTCAATGCTTTGGTTTGGTTGTTGGAATGTTCTCTGGCTTCACAGGGAAAACAATGGAGACTTTGCCTGAAATTGAAAATTATCAGTGATGGCATTTGCATAATGCCTTGTTTAAAAGGCACATATAGGGGCGCCTGGGTGGCTCAGTCAGTTAAGTGTCTGCCTTTGGCTCAAGTCATGATCCCAGGGTCCTGGGATCGAGCCCCACATCAGGCTCTCTGTCGGCGGGGAACCTGCTTCTCCCGCTCCCCCTGTTTGTGCTGTCTCTCTCGGTCAAATAAATAAATTTAAAAAAATGAAAAACTAAAAGGCACTTATAGATACTTTAGCTTGTGATTGAAATGAATAGCTGAGAGAGAATAGCTAAATATTCTAGTTTTTTGGTCTCTTCCTTTGTAAAAAAGGAATTCTATTTTTCCACATGGAATTGTTATAAGTGGTTAATAACTACAATTTAATTACTTAGATTTGTGTCTGGCACATATTAATTATTTGGTATTTTTATTCTGTTTGTTAATAATAATAATGTTTTTGTTGTTCAGTTCTACCTTGCAGACTGTACATATATCACAGACTAATGGGGAAAATTCCACTATCTAATTTTCATATGAGTTGGGGAGGAGGAAGGGATACAGAGAATTCAGCCTTGCAGTGCTTCCTGTGTGAGCTTAGGAATCTCAGCCTCTAACCTAGTGTTTACCAAAACAGGGGCTATATCATTTTGACTTACTTTCTCTTTTTAATATTGGTCAACAACTAGAAATAGAAATCTTGAAAGAGGTCATTTTTCAACCACTGCTCTCTGGATCATTTTAGGCTTTCATGGCTTTGGGATGCTACACTTTAAGAGCAAATTATTTGGTATCTGAAGGAGCTTAACTTCTTGAGGAAATGGAATTTGTTGTGGAGGAAGAATTTCTTTTTTTTTTTTAAGATTTTATTTTTCATTTTTCAACAGAGAGAGAGAGAGACAGCGAGAGAGGGAACACAAGCAGGGGGAGTGGGAGAGGGCTAAGCAGGCTTCCCGCTGAGCAAGGAGCCCGATGTGGGACTCGATCCCAGGACCCTGGGACCATGACCTGAGCCAAAGGCAGACACTTAACCACTGAGCCACCCAGGCACCCGGAGGAAGAATTTCTAAACAAAGGGACACTTTAGGGGCGCCTGGGTGGCTCAGTCGTTAAGCGTCTGCCTTCGGCTCAGGTCATGATCCCAGGGTCCTGGGATCGAGTCCCGCATCGGGCTCCCTGCTCTGCGGGGAGCCTGCTTCTCCCTCTCCCACTCCCCCTGCTTGTGTTCCTGCTCTCGCTATCTCTCTCTCTGTCAAATAAATAAATAAAATCTTTAAAAAAAAAAAAAGGGACACTTTATAAATATCACTCCCTGAAATAACCCTCATGTAAGCTTTCAGTGAAACAAAATGTAGACTTTAGGAATTTACCTAAGTTTAACATTGAACAAAATCCTAAACCCTTAGTTTGTTGTTCTATGGAGAGGACACCACTTCTGAGGTTTTCCACTGTGTTAAAATAAACCAGCAATGGAGGGAACCTGAGAAATGAAGCTTCCAAAAACAGACCAACTCAAGAAGTGCTTTTTCATTCTGACCTATTGCAATTTCAGGCCTCCCCAACACTTTTCCTTCCCACACCATTCCCTTCCTGCTACCACTTATCTTGCTCCTGGAAAGGAATAGCAGAAATACCCAGGGTTGATCTTTGTTGAGTTATCCTGAAAATGGTAGTAATAGTGGAGGCAGAGTTGAGGGAAGCCACTTAGCAGTGCTTTAACCTTTTGGGAATCATAGATCCAGTTCACACTGAAGATCAGAGCTAAGGATTTTGCTTCAGAGATATACACAGATACATACATAAAATCTTGTGTACTGATTCAGGAAGTGATGCCTCTTTTGGGACATTATGGGGCACCTGCGTTGTGAGAGCTGACAATATCCCTGGCCTTCCTCCTTGTCAAGCTTGAGAGCTAAGGAACGGTTTAAGTGCAGTGCTTGGGGATGGATCCAGGCCAGATTTTGCTAAAAGCAGACTCATGTGTTTTTGAGCTCACCTCATTTTCTCCACTCATTAAAAACTCTGAAAGGTCAGATCCACAGCTGTTTATGAACCAGAATAGCTTTCTCTTGCTTCTCTTTCATTGTCTTTATTTTTTTAGTTAAGATTATTTATATATTTACTTGAGAGAGAGAGAGTGAGAGAGAGAGAGAGCATGAGTGGGGTGAGGGGCAGAGGGAGAAGCAGACTCCCTACTGAGCAGGGAGCCCAAGGATCCCAGGACTCCCGGATCATGACCTGAGCCAAAGGCAGATGCTTAACCAACTAAGCCACCAGGCACCCCCATTGTCTTTACTAAAGCCATGTGCCTCATATGCAGAAATATGCCCACTTTGTACAAGTGAGTGAGCTATGGTGGACACAGCATCCACATAAGTTCCTGCCCCTCTAAAAGTTGACGTTCTTGTAATCTAGTTTGGTTCCTGAGGCCATAGGCAGGTGAGAAAATTGCCCACTGCATATTGGTGAGCTCTGATCCCACTAATGATGCTTACTAACTTTGTTAGCTTGGGTAAATTTCTTAACCTTGGGTGACTTGGATCCTTTATTTTTTCAGGGGTAAGATATTTGTGAGATAGGGCACTTGGGTGGCTCAGTGGGTTAAGTGTCTGAATCTTGATTACAGTTCAGATCATGATCTCAAGGTCATGGGATCGAGCCTCATTTTGAGTTCTGTGCTCAACTTGGAGTCTGGGATTCTCTCCCTCTGCCGCCCCTCCTATCTAAAATAAATAAATAAATCTTTTAAAAAAGATATTTGTGAGATATTTTATAGATTGAAGACATAGTACCTCTCAAATTAAATACAGTATGTAAACTCTTACTTTGCTTCTGGTCATCCCTTTGACCAGTGTAACCATACAGTTGCCAGAATGCCTGGGTTATTTGGTGTAGATGGGGTAGTAATATTCATAGCTAAGAGTGCTAGATCCTGCTCCATATATTATTTCATTTTTTTCTCACAATGTTTCTGTGGAGTAGGTCCTACTAATTATCCCTTTTTTTTTTTTGTAAGTGAGAAAAATAGATGGGCAAAGAAGTTAAGAAACTTGCCTCTGGTCTTCCAGACGGGAAGCAGCTGGGGGACTAAAACCCAGGTGGTTTGGCTCCAGGAGCCATGCTCTTAGCTCTAATCCTTTCTAGCCTTTTTTCGAGCTATGGCTTATTCACAGTGAATGGAGAACATTATGTGTGGTGGACTCTAACACTTAAGATTTTTTTCTCTCTTTCCTATTTCAGGTATCTGACAGCAAGGAGCAATAGAAATTTCCTGCTTACCATGAGGCCATTCTTAAAAAGGGCCACTTTGGTCATAAGTTATGTAAGTATATATATATATATGCTTCTGAAATATCTGATAAGGAATATTTTACTTTTACTTGGCTCAGAGACATGATGCAGATTATTTAATAGAATCAGCAATCGATTCTAACCACACAATCTTAGGATCAAAGAGTTTACATGCTGTGAATGTTAACAAAGCTTTGGAAGATATGTATGAAAGCCTTCTAGGAGTATGAACTCTGTGACACAGACAGTGTCAACTATAATATCTTATGAGTCGCTTTCAGGGTGCTGATCCTGAGTTGTCTCAGCAGCACAAACCTAGCTATATCAGCTATGTATTGCTGCACAACAAACCACCCCCAAATGTGGTGGCTTAAAACAACCACCACATATATTTGCCCTGAATGCTTTAGTTGGGCAGCATCGAGCTAGATGGTTCTAATGCTCATGATTTTTGACTGGGGTTGCACAAGCAGCTTCCTGTAGCTGTTAGCTGGGCTCATTTGTCTGTCTGTGGTATCTCATTCCCTAGGGTCTCTCCCTGTGGCCACTCTCTAGCAGGGTAGCCAGGACTTCCTTAAAACATGGCCGCTGGGTTCTAAAAGCATGAACCAGAAGTTGCAGGACCTCTCAAGGGGTAGGCCCAGAACTGACACAGTGTACCTGCTACCACTTTCTGTTGGTCAGTGCAAGTCACGAGACCAACTCAGACTTAAGAGGAGGGGCAGTTGGTCTCCTTCTTGATGGGAAGAGCAGAATGCACATGAAAAGGGAGCCGGCATTCTTGGTCGCCATCTTTGGTGACTGGCACATTAATCACTTTCTTACATTGTTGGATTCAAGAATTCCAGATTAGGAAACCAGTCTCTTTAAGCTGTTGCCGTTCCCCGTAAATTTGGAGAGGAAACTTATAAAAAGTGTTTGCATTGTAATGTCACCAATTAACGTGATTTTTTTTTCTTGTCCCTAAAACATGTTTATGGAAGAAGAGTATGCAAAAACTGAATAAGGGTGGAGAGCCTTGACTGGACAATCTCAACAAAAGGGACAAAATATTTCTCTAAAGTATTCCCCAGTATCTTTGCATAGAATTAGGATGATTCATCACTGGTTTCAGAAGTGATTTATTTTCTTAGAATTGTATGGGAATGCAAGTAATTTGACATCATTGCTCTGATGAAAGTTGTCAATTATTAATCCTTCTGTTTTTTTGAAACTTTATTCTCAAAGCCCTTTCGACTACTTAACTTTCTATTCTTTTTGTTTAATTATCACAGCCTTTTTCCTCTACATGGTATTTTAGGGAATTTATGTTCTTTTGGGATACTTTTCCTATTACTTTTATAGTTGATATTTTCCATTATAGTGTCTTTAAGAATTTAAATTCAGTTTGAGCAGGACGTTGTGTGAGCGTTAAGATGATTTTCAGTTGCTGCCTAGGCATTGTTTACTGTTGATAAGCCATTGGCTAACACCATACATTTTCAGTTTTTGGATTTGAGGTTATTTATATAAAAGATATTTATAAAGGAAGTCCGTGATATTCTTGGAGAAAAAATCCAGTCTTAACTATCTCCAAAATTAATCCTTTAGATTTTTATTTAAGCAAAGGTTTCCCTCTGACTTTAATAAAAACAATGTAATTGGTCCTATTGAAATGAGAATCACCTGGAAGGCCTGTGTGGGTGAATACCCTTATAAACAAAACTCATCCCCACAGAAATGTCTCTGCTTCTGGTTTTCTTACTCACCTTAGCAACAGGATAGCACCATTTAGTGATAGAATTCCACTGGGTGACACAAAAGCTGTTCCTGGGATTTGTTGAAATAACCCTTCATGAATGTTCTGCTTCAGGGCATTCAAGGGTGGGAACACTTCAAGTGTGTTTATTCAGAACACAGCAGTATTATTTATTGTACTTTAAATTAACTTTCATGGGGCTGTGTAAATGGAATGGTTAAGAATGTGGTTGGACAGTGACATGGGTTCACCTCCTGGATCTTGCAGTTTATTAGCTGTGGGATTCTGGGTAAGTTACCTCTAAGCCTCAGCTTTCTCATCTACCTCTGGGGTTGCTGTGAGGCCGCAGGTGAGATGGAAAAGTCTTTAGCACAGTGGATAACAGCTGGTAAATGTTTGATACTGACAGCTGTATTTAAGAATTTGCTTGTCTCTCCCTCAACACCTTCATTGTTTATGCTCTTCTCCCTACCCAGCTGTTTTCCATCTTGCCTCCTCATCTTGAATGTTAGGATTTTATAGAAATGCTCACAATGAAACAAAACAAGACATTTATAAAGCATCTGCAAGTGTCCTCCAGAAAGGTGGGGCTTATGCCCAACAAGCAATGATTTTCTTACCAAATCTTTTCTTTGAAGGTGATTGTTGTTTTGTACTTCCGTCTGTGGATCATGGGAGGATCTATGCCCCTCTTTTCAGAGCAGGATAATCCAGCTTCATTTTCGCCTTACATTCTTACGAGGTCAGTAAACGTAATTTTTCTTTTTTAGCTTAACATGGTATTTATTAGATTGTTTTAAAATTCTTAAATGATAGTTTACCTTTGCATTCTAAGGAAAGGAGGGTTGATTCTGTCCAGAGTGTGGGGAAAAAAGAAACTACTATTCATACATTTGGAATTCTTCTCCACTGGTGGTGCTATTTTGCCAGGCTTATTGCTATTCTCATATTGGTATGTATTTGCTTATCCAACAAGTATTTTACTGAGCACTTATTATCAATAATAAATATGTACTGAGTGGCAAGCGTTACAGAACAATGCACGGAGAAATGTATAGAGGTTGATTGAGCATTAAAACTATTTGTAAAATCAGTGAAGATGTTGAAAGTGGAAAACAGAAATGAACAATAATTTTTGCTAAGATATAGCTCATTATATCATACTATTTGTCCTTAGAGATTTAGAGATATTGGATCAAGTAGTGATGTCGACCAATGGATCTGGTTCATTGAAATGGTTTTTAATTCCTTATCTGTTCCGTCTGCTGTGATGTCCTGCTAAGGCTTTCAGATATAGTTATATTTGACCATTTTAATAACTTTTCTTCAGGATATATTGTTGCAGGGCATCTGGGTGGCTCAGTCGGTTAAGTGTCTACCTTTGGCTCAGGTCATGATCTCGGTGTCCTGGGATTGAGCCTGGCTTCGGGCTCCCTGCTCACTGGGGAGTCTGCTTCTCCCTCTCCCTCTGCCTCCTACCCCCCCCCCCCCGCTCATGCTCTCTGTCTCTCTCTCAAATAAATAAATAGTCTTTTTTTTAAAAGGATATATTGTTGCTATTATGTTTAAATATTCAGATGCACTGTTCTTAAGTTTTTATAGTTTTATATATACTTTTTAGCATTTAATATCATTTTCATAATAGTGTCCTTCACTTTTTTGTGTTTGCAGACATAATAAATCTTAAACCTTGTTCTACTGCCCATTTTTATTTTGGCTTACTTGTATCTCTTAAGGACAACACATTGTTGGATTTTTTGTTTCTATGCCAGGCAGTGATCTTTGCTTTATTTGACTCATGTATTTTATGTTTTAACTGCTACATTTCTATTTTCTTTGCCTGTATGTTTTTGTTTATTGTTCCTAGTCTTTCCTTCCTTTTTTTTTTAAAGGCAATTTCCCTTTCAAAAAAGATAACTTGAAATTTGATTAACCCATTTCTACAAAAATATCATGGCACAATTATTTGCATTACTTCTGACATATATTTCTATTAAAGAATCTTGACTGTGCCTTCAGAAATCATATGATATCCAGCCTCTAGTGTGGACTTATCTTTTTGAGGTACACTAGACACTTATAAATTGTTTGTATCTTCTGTTTTTCAAAATGTTGTTGGATTAATCATGACATCTCTAACCCAGCTTTTTGTTAATGTTGCAACCTACTTGTCCTTTTTGGGTAGCTGTCACTGGCTTTCGAAATTTCCAGGATCCTTGCCTGGATATTTTTAGCTCATTGATAAATTGTTTCAGGTTCTGTAGCTCCTTAAATAGCTCCATTCACCTCCAGAACAGACTATTCTGAACTCACCAACTAGTGATTTCATTCATATCTCTGTCATCAGTAAACAAGTGCCTTCCCCGTGGTCCTCACTGCCCTCCTATCTGCCAGGGGTGTTCAGTTGCATTTTTATCTCTACTGGTGGCAGAAAAAATTCTTTGGTGTAACCTCTGGCAAAATTAGTACCTTGGACCAGTCATCCGCCGGGTTCTGCCTTTGACTTCCAAGGCATATATATCCTTTTTCATAGGGGCCTGAAACACATTTCATCTAGGACTTTCTGTCTGTGAATCCATCTAAGTGACTATTCTCAGGTAATTTAATCAGTATAAAGTGATAGAATACAATATCCTAACACCTTTATATTCTTCCCCTTTTTTCTTTTAAAAAAACATAGTTTTCTTCCTGGGGCTCCTGGGTGGCGCAGTCAGTTAACCATCCAACTCTTGTTTCTGGCTCAGGTCGTGACCTTAAGGTCCTGAGATCGAGCCTCCCTGCTCCTCCCTGCTCCTCCCCCCACCCCCCAAAACCATATCTTTCTATTTCTGTGTTTCGTGCTTAAAATACGGAGATACCCAGGGACATTTCAATGACAGTTGCTATAAATGGCTTTTCACATTCCTGTAAGATAGCTGCATTATAATTGACTCTTTCGAGCATCCAGAAAATTGTCTTTAATTCCTTTTTGAAGTAAGGTTTCTACTCTGCTTGCATAATTATTTGACCTCTGGTAGCCTGATGATTCTTAAATTGGATTACCTTGGTCTATTTCCTAGTTGTGTTGGTTTTTCTTTCCTTCTCATCAGCAATGCAATTTAGCTATGATTTGGCTGGCTCCATGAGCCCGTCACTACTAATCACAGGTTTGTCATCCAGCTGTGTCAGTCTGCCTCATTGATGCTCCACCTCTTTTATTGGGTTTATAAACTCCGAACAACTTTTATAGCATCTTTGCTTCTATCTTGCAAGTATTACATCTTCTTTTAAAGTCGATTTAATAACTTACTCTATTATCAGATGAGAATTTTCAGACTAGCTTTCTCTTTTTTTAATAATTGCTGTAGTTATTACTATATTGCAATAGTTATTAATATAAGATATTGCTATAGTTTTACAGTTATTAACATGTAGTTAAAAAAAATCCTAACAGTTTTAAGAGCAAAGGTTTTCCTTTGTTTCATTCAGATGATTTCTTGTGGCTTTAGTTCTGAGATTCCTTCACTTGTAGATTATCTGTTTCCATGTGGTTAGCTAGGAAGAAATACCCTGTCATTTTCTATTTACCAATACTGGGGTGCAAAATCATTGTGGTTTGCTTATGAGAATCCTTTGTTAAGAAAAATTATCAAAGACATGGGAATAAGACAACAGATGACTGCGTGACATTTAGTCTAATGTAGGGCATTGTCCTAACAAACCTAGAAGAATACAACTTTGACTTATTTACATCTGCGCTACCATATTTTACAACTGTGTCAACTTAGAACTTAACATATAGAATAGGATAGGTGTGAACATTTCTTATTCTCTGTAGTAGGAAATGAGACTTCAAATGTTAGTTTTATTGCCTTATAGGCAATAAATTGAACAAATTTGTGTCTAATTTACCAATCTCATTCCTTTTTATTATTTCATGAACTATATAACCCTAGTTTTTCATATTTAATTTGAGTATATTGATATATGTATACATTTGTATATATGTATTTATTCTATTTATATATATCTAAGTAACAGTTTAATAGACCTACCATACAATTCACCTACTTAAAGTATACAATCCAGTAGTTTTCTCTCTACTTAAAGAATTGTGCAACCATCATCACAATCAGTTTTAGAACATTTTCCTCTCCCCGAAAAGAAATCTTATATCCATTAGCATTTACTCCCCATTTTACCTTAGTCCCCCCACTCCTAGATAACCATTGATCTACTTTTTGTCTCTGTTGAGTTACCGATTCTGGACATGTCAGATCAATGGACTCAAATAATATATGGTCTTTTATGACTGGCTCCTTTCACTTAGCATAATGTGCTCAAGATTCATCCCTGTTGTAGCCTGTATTCATACTCCGTTCTTTTTTCATTCCCCAGTAATATGCCATTGTATGTGTGTACCACTTTTTACTTTTCCTTTCCTCTGTTGATGGCTGTTCCAAATAACACTGCTATGAACATTCATGGACAAGTTTTTGTTTAAATGTATGTTTTCATTTCTGTTGCGCATGTATGTAGGAGTGCATTTGCCAGGTCATAGATGTTAACTTCGTATTTAACTTTGTGAGGAACTACTAGACTATTTACCAAGGTAGCTGCTCCATTTTACATTTACGTTTACATTTACAGCAGTATTTGAGGGTCCAGTTTCGCCACATCCTCACCAACACTTGTCTTTTTTGACAATCTTTCTGTTGTTTTCATTACAGCCATACAAGTGGGTATAAAATGGTATCTCAGTATGGTTTTGATTTGCTTTTCCCTAATGGCTAATGATGTGTAACATCTTTTCATCTGCATATTGGCCACTTCTTTATCTTCTTCAGAGAAACGTCTATTCAGATGCCTTGACCAGTTTTTAATTATTTTGATTATTGAGGGGTTTTATTATTTTATTATTGAGTTGTAATAGTTCTCTATATATTCTAGCTACAAGTTGTTTATCAGATAACATGATTTATAAACATTTCCAACCTTTCTGTGGGTTGTTGTTTCCCATTCTTGACGGTGTCCTTTTGAACACAAGTGTTTTTAAATTTGATGAAATCCAACTTATCTATTTTGTTGTTGTTGCTTGAGGTTATATCTAAGAAGGTTTTGCCTAACTCAAATTTTCTTTTAAACTGGCTTTTTCAAGTGTCTGGTTGCCTTATTAAACAGTTATATAAACTTTTATTTTCACTGTGTATTTGTATGAGGATTAAATTTTTAATATTAAATTTTAATTAAATATTAAATGTTTATTAAATTTTAATTAAATATTAAATTTTTAATATTTTCAAAATTGTACTTTGTTACAGTTTATGTTAACAGTAATTTGGAAGCCATTTAGAATTTGATTTCTTATACTTGATCACTGGGCACTGGGCACTTGATCAAATCACAAGGCAAATCAATGAAGTATTGGAGAATCATCATTATCAGAATATCCTGGCAATAAGGCTCTTATTGTATTAGCTGCCAGGAATTTGATGTGACTGATCAATAAATTTTTCAACCCATAATTAATTGAGATTGTGTGGATCAGTTGAATGGTATGACATTGAATTATAAACATTTCTACTTTAGACCTGAGAAGAAAAGCATAAGTAGAATTTAAAGAATGGAGGAGATACTGTAGGTTGCACAGCTTTCTCTTGACAAGCGAGTTTCCCCGGGCTCAGTTGTCCAAGCCAGGTAACCTAGTAGTCATGATTGGCTACTACCTTCCTTTCATCCCTCACCTCTAAGCGATCACGTCGT